TACATAATCTTTACTCCCTGGAATGGAGATAAGAAACACCCTAACCTTTGGAATAGAGATTGATAGGATTGGAATCAACTAGTATAAATACAGATGTAAGAAGACAGAACCAAGAGAGACAGAACCTACACAGGAACGAGAAGACAGAACCTACACAGGAACCAGAAGACAGAACCTACACAGGAACCAGAAGACAGAAGAACTTAGCTGGAGAGAACATGGCAAAAGATCCTGGATTGAACCTGACTGCAGAAATTGGCAAAAGAACCTGACTAGAACCTGGTGACTGAACCTGGCTGGAGAACCTGGACAGAACCTGGCTGGAGAACCTAGCGAGGGAACATGGCTACAGAACCTGGCTGGAGAACCTAGAGAACCTAGCAAGAGAGCATGGACTCAGAACTTGGCTGGAGATCCTGAACCAGAACTTCCCTGGAGATCCGAACCAGAACTTGGCTGGAGATCCTGGATAGAGATCCTGGCTAGGCTGCTGATCAACTGAACGCTGTCTCCGTGTCATTCCTTCTTCGCCGACTCCATCCACACCTTTGGGGACCCCTCGACCTTCTGGGGTTGGACCCCGGCACTTTGTGAAATATTAATTAAGCATACTGGCTTTGATATCATTTGAAATGCATATTGCTTCTTAATCTTTGTTTATTTCTCTTCAGTTATAACCTATTTAAACTCTTCCAGATTCTCAACTGTAAATGAAGAATCTACCAGTGTTCTAACATAAATTTTATCAACTTAATAAAAATGCAGGTATTTTGAGAGTTCAAAATTTCACTTTGTCATAAATTTACATTTTATTGTTGGTTATTTCCAACATACAAAAATCAGCCTCACATTGGAAGACTCAATGTTCAGTATCAACAGTCCCATCAATCTGGAATGGTGAATAGGTGGATGGACTGGATCTATTTCTAAAACTAATTGGTTTATTTTAGCAAATATTTTCTTGCTATGACAATCTGTTAACTGTGATATTAAAGATTTAACTCTATATCTACTGCTTCTGTTATGTCTTTTTTCTCTCAACTACACAGGCCTCTAGGTTCTAAGTTACTTGAAAATCTGCAAGAGCATCCTCTAGAATATGTATTCATTATGTGGAGCAAGAATCAAATATGTGCAGCCAGCTTTCATGCTGCATTTATAAAACCTCAAAGCCCAATTATGATCTTTAATTTTTACTTGTCACTGGCAGTATCATGGGTTGCATGTTACATTTTCTGCTAATAATAGCTTGTAAATTATTAATAGACACCATGAAGATCCTTTCCCTCTTAACTCAAAATTAAATTGTTTAAATTTTATATTAATTTATGATACATGTTTCTAAGTTTATGAGTAAAGTTTATATGTATTATCCTATATAATAGAAGGGTAATATGCAAATCGACCCAATGGCAGAACGACTGGTCCCTATGATGCACACTGACCATCAGAGGGTAGACACTCAATGCAGGAGCTGCCCCTTGGTGGTCACAGCCAGAAGCCCTGTGCCAGGCTCATGGCTGGCAAGCACAGTGGCAGTGGAGGGAACCTCTCCCACCTCCGAGGCAGCACTAAGAATGTCAGACTGACATTCTTTGGGGAGCAGACCTAAGCTGTCAGTCAGACTTCACCTGAGGGCTCCCTGACTATGAGAGGGCGTGGGCTGGGATGAGGGACACCCCCCACCCCCATGTGCATGAATTTCATGCATTGGGCCTCTAGTTTGTTATAATATGACATATAGGTTCTTTAAAATCACTTGTAACTTAAAAATACACAAGCCAAAAAACATTAATTGTGGTATAAATAACTAGAAATTTATTTTATCTTCTCCAGAGTTTCTGTTATAATTGATTACTCTTTTCATAATTGATTGTGGATAGATGAGCTACTAACATTTCCAATATTGAGTGCTGAAGGAAAGAGTGACTTATGTGGTGTGGGATGTGTACGGAAGGAAGTCAGTAAACATTGCTGTTAGTTAGGAAGTTAGACATGAGCGGCTGGACTAGGACCTGCCCTGGGGTCCTGAACAGTGGTATCCCAACACTGCCTTTAGCCCAGCAGCCAGAAGACTTCCAGCAGGCAGGTGCAGAACCAGCCTGTTCTTGGCACAAGCTCAAAGGGAAATGAATGACATGATCTCAATGCTACCTTTCTAGGGTCCTAATTATAATAAAATTTACATTGTGATTTTGACACCTCCTCCCCCTGTGGGATTTTCTGTATGCAATATGGGTAAGTGCATGCACAGAAGAAATATAGTTACATAACCCTTTTCTGTCAGTCACCCCTGAATGCAAATAAATAAGTCTCCACCCAGAAAATTCTTCATTTAAACCATATAAACCAGGAGTTCTGGACCATTGTCTCTCTTGACTAGCCTGCTCCTCGTTTGAAGTGTATCTTCAATAAATCCCACTTTGCTTTGCTTTCATTTTCATTGACCTTAAAATCTTTTCTAGGTTGATGAGACTAACCGAGGTCCCAGCTGGTAACCTCAATCGGTAACTCTACCTTTCTAGATTCTTGCTTGCATGTACTTCATAGATGGCTAAGAAACCAATGAAATTCTGAAGATAATCTCTGCTCTCACATCACAACTTTCAGATGAATTAGAAGGACACTCTTCAGAAAATAAAGGAAGTTACAATCAAAGGTGAAAAAAGCTAAAGTAAACTTTAGATCAGATGAACTTTATTACCTATTGAATTGTGTTTTTCCGAAATATATATGGAAGTCCTAACCCCCAGGACCTCAAAATGTAACCTTGTTTGAAATAGGGTTGTTAAAGATGAAATTACATAACTTAAGATGAGGTCATGCTGAAGTAAAGGCGGCCCTTATCCAGTATGACTGGTATCCTTTTAAGGAGAGGCAAGATGATGTGAAGGCAGGCACACAGAGAAAGCAATGTGACTATGGAAGCATAGACCGGAATGCCTGGTCTTCCCAGAAGCTGAAAGAAAGAAGGGAAATCCTTCCCCCAGGGGCCTCAGAGGAAGCATGGTCCTGCCAACCTTGATTTTGGATTTAGACGCAGGGGTGGGCAAACTTTTTGACTCAAGGGCCACAATGGGTTCTTAAACTGGACCGGAGGGCCAGAACAAAAGCATGGATGGAGTGTTTGTGTGAACTAATACATGTTAACACTGCTGCTGGTGAAGGAGCGGAGGGGAGAGCAAGAGAACCCTCCGCTCTTTCGGCTCCGCGGGCCGGATAGAACAGCCGAAGGGGCCGGATCCGGCCCGCGGGCCGTAGTTTGCCCATGGCTGATTTAGAGAGACTGAGAGAGAAGTTGCTTTAGCCACCTAGTTTGCTGTATTTTGTTATGGCCACCCTAGGAAATGAATACAAACTTGAATGTAGCAGACATTTCAAACAGGTACAGATGAAGGGCTGCCACTGCCATTCTGTAATGATTAGGAATTTTCCTTTTGGATTTAGATGTGGGTATTATGATAATAACAGGATTAGGTCAGATCATATTTTGTACCCAACCCAATGATTACAGAGGTGTAAATGTTAATAAAACTAAAAATATTATTAAAGTAAGGAATAAGTACAAAACAAAACCACAATATTCCAATATGTCAGGCACATATAGGTCAAGATGGCATGCCTTAATTATACATTCATTTTAATATAATTATCTTGTTATATCTTATTAATATAAATATAAAATTTTAAAGTGTTTCATCCTGAAAACTAAATCATAGTGTATATAACAACACAGAGAGTTTAATTAAAAGTTTTCTAATTTTACCCTAAAATTCCAGAGTTCAGTTGCTTTAATCCTAGTTCCTGGGACTTAATGACTACTCAATAAATGTAGGCTGAATTTAAAAAGATAATGAAAATGATGTATATTTTAATTAACTGGAATGACAAGAACTATAGTCAACTTGCTCACAAGGTCACTTTAATATGAAGTCTCGAAACTAAGTTACATATTCCAAAGCTTAGAAATACTTTCATGATAAGACCAATATTCTATAATGTCAGATTTTTAAAAAATAAGCCATGTAATTAATGATAAAAGATGAATGATATAATTTTATGGAAATATACTATAGATTTCTTTTTGAAAACTATATTAACTGCTATCCACAGCAGCAAAATATACCTCCAGATACACTACAGCAATAAGTCAGCAAAATTCCTTAGTGTTATCATTTTCCTAGACACTCTAGATTGGCTTTTTCTCTCTATTACCTCTGGAAACCTATATTTATTTCTGGAGAAATTGCATAACCCTTCTTTTACATTTCCAGTACTATCCAGAACCACTTTATATTCTTTAAAGAATAAGTTATTTTCAAAGCAAATAATAGTCTATCAGTCTGTGACACATACGTAAAAATATTTCTATTTTTTCAAATGGCTCATATAAAGAACTTTTGTTTAATAATATATTCTATTTAATAACAAATTTTCTTTTACATGTATCAGAACAACATTTATGCAACAAATTTCTAAGAAATGAAATTTAATAATGTGGACTTAATATTAAATAAAAATTAAAAATATTATAATTGAGCCTTGATTATTGAAAAAGTACTGGAGTATGTCCCTAATTCAATATTATCTTAAATCATTTATTTACATTATGTTATAGAGGTACTCAATTGCTGGTCAATAGTTCCATTGAATACTGAATAAACAAGGTTTTGTTGGCTATAGAAAATTAAACATTACAGACTCCAGAATATACCTGAAGATATCTTATAAATTCTATAAAATAGAGAACTGGTAATTCCTTTATGTATTTAAGGTATAAAAAACCTCATTTTTTAACTGTAAAAGATAACATAAAGTTGCTTTATATTAACATTGCTTATAGAGTAGTCAAATTTTACTTTCAAAATGTTGTGTGTCCACACTCTCAAATAATATAGATTAAATATACATTTTATTAATATAAGTCCACACAAATGTATTGTCCAAACATTGTATATGCTATATTTAAATCAACTTCTTAAGTTAATCATTAATCATACCTGAGTTAGTTCATTCATATCTATAAGTCCGTTACTGTCAGCATCAAAATATTTAAACATTTGATCCACCAACAACTTCTTCCGAGATATGTCATCATCGTTAGGGTTTTCATTTTCTCGCGTAATATATTTTTGCTTTTGTAAATCTAAAAGCATGCTTTTCATCTTGCTGTATTCAGTGGCCTTGCAGTTATCTCCTGTAACAAAAGAACTAAGTTATTTTCAAAGCAATATTATGGAAAACAAATCATTTACTTTATTAATGTTTAGAAGCTAGAACCTTATAAATGCCATACTTCGTACATAATTTTTGTTTCTACTTGGTATAGTTTACAACTTGTGCAAGAAAAAAATCAGGCTATTTTCATGGCAGATTAGAAAAATTTTGTCTGTATCAAACCTAATAAGAATATATTTAGTGTGTATTCTCTCTATGCCTAAGGCATTGGTTCTATGAGGTACATAGAAACACATGGTAGCTCTCATTGGCTCCAGTGCTTAAATATATCTTCGTTTTAATCCTCATAATACATCCCCATACTGATAATTTCACAGGTTTTGAACATAAGGCACAGGAAGATGAAATGGCTTGCCCAAGGCCAGATTAGGTTAGATTGTGCTGAATTTTGCACTTAAGCACACACACATATATATGTGGCTCCCAAATACTATAGCACATTTTTAACTGGATATATGTTTATAATATGTGGGTTTGTTTTGAAGAAATTTATATGTGTGTGTATTTACATTTTTTCTTTATTCTATTTATAATGCAACTAAGCTCATACTTGTATTCTTCCCAAAGTATTGTTATTTTTCATCTATTCATTTATTTTTCCTTATAGAATACTTAGTGTGTATACTATGATATGTATTTGCATTTTATATCTTAAAGTCTTAACTTTTCAAATTTCATCTTCATAACTAAAATATGTTTATTAAAGTAGCAATGCATTACATGTTTTTCATATCTCCCATAGTATAACCATAGGAATAGTGGGAACATCACTGTTAATGAAAATAATTGCTTGACATAATTTTTTCAAAAGTAATTACAATCCTTCTAAAATCTTCACATGATTATTTTACAAAGGATTTTACTTACAATGGACTCATACTGATGTCTTCATAAATAGTGCACTAAAATTAATTGCATATCATTGAGACCAAATGTGATATAAACTACATTACAGAAAATAGAGTTTATAATGTAATTATAAATGAAAAAAATGGGTATCATAATACCTAAATAGTTTGTATGTCATATTTTAGGGGGAAAAGATAACTTATATTTGTGGTCAATATTGACAATTAGAATTTGACAGAATCTACAGTTTAGAAAGAAGATTTCTAAAGAATTTTAAATATAGATCTAAGCCTGGGTTGAAAAGCAATATTTGAAGTCTCATTCTCTTTTAAGATAAGACAGAAAACAACCTCTGCTGGAGAATGAGAGACTATCTTATTTTTCAAAGACAGTGAAAATGACTACTGTTGTTCATCAATTTTATTGTTTAGCAATCTTGTCAAGAACTTCATTTTTTTGCAAAAAAAATCTAAACTTTGTGCTGCAGATTAAGTCAATTTTACATTATTCTGTTTTCAATATATAAAAATAAGAAGAATATGTTTTAGCAATAAGAATAGCAAAAGAATCAGACACAGGAGAGAAGTAATCAAATCCAGAGGGATAGGTAGCAATTTTGGTGTCCATGAAAGTGGCACAAAAGAAGCCTTCAAATATGTATGTAGGTGTGTGTGTATCCGTGTGTGTGTGGGTGTGCTTCAGAAATAGAGAGAAATGTGTGGTGAAAGAATGTGGAAATGATAATAGACCTTTCCAATAGCCCCACCTGGGATTTCGGTATTTGACCTTGCATCTTTATGTCCTTTCATTTGACTGAAGGTGAGGAGGTGGGAGGCGGGATGAGTTTGTAGGGGCTGACCTGTGATCATAGGGACTGAAGAGGTCAGAATGTCGATGAGAGGCAGATGAAAAATAGAATTGAAATGCTGAAAACCTTTTAAACAACATTTAAAATTTAGGGAAGGGAATACAATTTGGGTTGTTGCACTCAAATTTCGATCTATTCAAATAATGTATCATCATGATGTTCTCTATTAATACTTTTGTTTCCAAACTGAAAGCTTCCTAAGTCCAAGCATTGAGGTATTTCTGGAAATCCAAAGAAAATAAAAATAAAAAAACCTTTGAAGTTAAGGCATACATATTCTATGATAATGTATGATAAGCAGTTATAAACCTATGTAAAACAGCATAAATTAAGTCTTAATAAAAATCTGTCACAGATTTTTTTAAAGTAATAAATAGATACATCTGTTATTAATAATAGATTACTTGTAATGCAGGCTTCCGATGTACTAGGAACTCTGTATCTATTAAACCACTTAACTCTCACATTAATCCAAAAAGATAGATAAATAATATAATTTTCACCATTTTACAGATGACAAGCCAAAGCACAGAGAGATTATATAAATGGTTCAAAGTTACAGAGCTAGAAAGAAACAGAATGATTTTTACAGAGACAATATCTTTTCTATCCTTTATTCTCTACTTCTCATCTTCAGAAATGAGTTTTAAAATCAACTTATACACAGATTCAGTAAGTTTGTCCAAGGATTATTGGTAAAGTGAAAAATAAATATAATAATAAACTCAAGGCAATATCACTGCTTAAATTACAGGTTTAGAAAGCAGAACTCACAAAGAAAAAAAAAAGTAGTACCTGTGATGTAGGAAAACCATAAGAAAGTACCGGAAAGGAGGGAGCTAAGGGGAAAGAACTTTTCAAGAAAGAGGGTCTGATGAAATGTCAAATGTTTCAGAATAGAAGTTAGATAAACAATAAGACATTCCCATTATATTGCTTAGAGATGATGAATGGCTTTACAGAATAATTTCAATAAATAACTAGAGCAGAATTCATATTGCAATGGGCTAAGGAGTAAGAACAAAGTGCAGATTGGGAAATATTAAATAGTTCCTGTCCTTTCAATAAGTTTCAATTTGAAAGAAAAAGGACCAGCATTATTAATGAAGAACAATAGATATTTAGAAAAATAAACATCAATGGATATGTAGAAAGCATGTCCTCATCCAAGAATAACATCAGGCATTTTTGTTTATTAGCTTCTTTGGCTGGATTCCTTTCTCAACAGTCAATGGCTGTGCTAGCTTGGAGTAGCTCAAGAAAAGAAATGCTTTCCTGACCACTCCTGCTTTGGGGGAACAGGAAGAAGCTGCTCTGCTGAGCCTGCCCCAGACACTGAGAACAAGACAGAGGAGGTCCCTGTGTGGTAGTACCCGTACCATCATTCTTCCTATGACACTGCCTCTCCGCCAACTCTCAACGCAGTGTCATTCTACCTGGGGTGTTAAAATCCACCTTGTGGAACCTGGAAAGATAACGAAACTCTGACATTCAATGACCCCACCCTGTGTAGCAGGCAGTACATCTCCAAGTCTCCATGGAACAGAGAATTACATTTTATATATCTGATAGTACAACCATCAATTTTGAGTACATAAGTGATAAGAATTATAGATTATATACATATCAATTATGCTTACTATGTTTGTCAAAGGCTGTAATTTGTTCCTATCTTTTTGAAATTATACTTGTATCCTTCCCTCCCATCCATCAGTAAAATATACCAATTCCCTTCAATGCAAAAATATTCAAACCTAACTATATAAGAATTCCATTTTTCTCTTTTAACATTTATGTTTAGAATTTGATTAATTTGATTCTTGTATAAACTGAAATCTTAAAAATTCAAAGAATAAAACTTGGATACCTTTCAGTGCCAAGTCTATTCATTACTGGAATATATAATGAAACTATTTTGTTCCTCAAACCTTGCAATAACTAATAGAATTATTTTTCATATTTTTAGAAAAATATTTTGTATTTATAGCAAAGCAGTAAGTCAAAATTTAGTATAAAGATTTAATTAGCTAATATTAATTAAATTTAACATAGAAAACTATTATCTTCATATTAAGGTGTAGGTTGCTAAACTATGTGTAGAATCATTGATCAGCTGCCTCCTGCATGCCCTCCACTGAGGATCGAGCCTGCAACACAGACACATGCTCAGATCAGGAATCCAATCATGACCTCCTGGTTCATAGGTTGATGCTCAACTACTGAGCCATGCCAGTTGGGTTACAGGACATTTTTAAAATCAATAAATATATTTTATGAGAGATATTAATTCTTTTACCCTTCCCCCACTCTCTCCATATACAAAATTTGATTTTGTTTAATTTATGATCTCCTTAAGCATTGTTGAAGAAAAGTAAATAATTAAAAACAATTAATTCAATTGCAATGCTTACTCATTAATTTCTGAAATGAATCTTCTTGGAAATAAAAGTATTTTGAGTTAACCATTCATTGTCCAAGAACTTCACTACTTATGATGTACTTTTGTCAGTTATATGGCACATTGACAACTGTAAATTTATATACTAGGCTGTAGTAAAAAAGAGTTTGGTTTTCTTATTTGGCAAATGTGATTATGTATTCTAATTTCAATAAAGGTGCTCTAATAATCACGTCACTTTGCTCTCCTAAACCTAGGAAGACATGAGCATAAATGTTTTTAGGGGCAAGATTAGGCACTCTATCCTCTGTTTTCAACTACATTCTTCAAAGCTGACACACTCGGGAGTGAGTGTGCAACTTAGCTATTACTCAGTTACCACTTATCATCCTCCCAAACATAGTCACATACTATAAAGTAAACATGCTGAACATGCTAACCGAAAACACAATAAAATAAAATAGAACACAGTATGATGGTGAAATCAATAATGTAGATTGCTCAAAAAAAATTAAAAAATATAAATTTATCTTACCAGATGTAAATACAACTTACAGTATTCATTATTATAACTAGTCAAATTTGTTATTTTGATGGTCAGTGAATTTACCAGTCTTTATGTCACTATCATTAGAGTAAAGACCTAGAAAATATGTGCTTCATATGAAAAAGCACACCTCTTATAGAATATATAACAGCTAATGCTGTTAAGGAGTGTATGAATTAAGTTTTTTCTAATCATTTTTTTTCTGCAACCTATGTACAAATATTTTGTACATGATATGTCAGACCTTCCATCTTTTTGCAGTCCTACAATTGCTGTTAAAATGTAAGTGCATATTGC